ACCAAGTTTTGGTCATGTTTCTTGCACGGTTCCTCTTCTACCATCGTGTCAAGTTTATCCGGCATGTTGAAAACATACAGCTTTACCCGATTAAGGTCCCCATGTAGAAGCTTTTAAGGGAAGGAAAATGTGCTTCTAATTCACAGAAAGGTTGATAGTGACAAATGGACTGCTTGCAAGTGTGTACATATTTGTGCTTCAAACACGTGTAACTTTGTTTCGAAAAGAATATTTCTTATGCCTGAAAAGGTAAATAATGTTCTAGAAAAAAACCATAATAATGAAATTTAAAGCACACAAAACACGAACGTGTACGACTGTACACACGGTCCTTCAAATTTTCTAAATCATGCCCTCCATAACTCTGGTCGAAACTTGTGTATTTTCCGATTATCTCCATGCACGGCGTCTGCATCCGGTTGTATTCTATAGCACGCCTAAATACATGATCACATACTTGATATAATTTATGCTTACAACTGTTATTATTGTTGTCAGAACACCATGTTGCTTCCTTTAGATGATATGGTAGCTCATATACATGACACATAGCGCGCATTAGATCCTATGCTAAACCACAATCTTCAGGTCAAATATGCCTCCATCAAAAACCACGCTGGAAAAAAGTGAACATTTGGCTTCCGGCTGGTAGATTTTATGAAAAAACAGCTTAAGTTTGCTGTTAATGTAAAAAAAAGTTTAACACTGTTAGTGTCCGGAGTCGATCTGACAAACCAATATTGTCTCCTTTTAATCTAAAACACACTTGCTATTTTTCATTTCATTTTGAACTCGTGTATTGACCGGAGTAAAAATTCATATGATATTTTTGGTGATTATATATGTTATCCACGGTGCCATCATTGATGTCAGCGCATGCAATGTAGTCAGATTTTTCTTCTTTTCTTTGCGGCCCCTCGGACACGTTGGCCGCCGTAAATCGCAATGCTAGCTTATGTTTGACCGTATCTGCCATTTTTTTTAATGTGTGATGCAGAATTTTTTAGAAGAAAGCCATATCAGTTAGAAGAAAGAGGTTTTGTACATGACGTGTTGAGAAAAAACAATTTGTACCTGATACAACAATATATTCATGTAACCTTAATCTTTTAAATCTCAACCGTTAATCTAAAAAATTTACGGTCAAGATAATTTAATCTATGTGGACTAACGTGATGGCTTGTTTGACTTCTGTTTTAATTATATAATAGATAGATGTAGGATTATGTTTTTGACCGAGGAATTTCACTTTTAATCTTGATGTGCTTCAGGGCGCGTACAACCCTTTGGACCTCTGTTATGACAATATTAATGGTGCTATTGCACAAGCCAAGGAGCCAAAGCGAAAATCCAAGCACATACAAAGGCGTTTTAACCTGATAAAACATGCAAAGTTCTCCTCCCGAGTCGCCCCCGTGCGGTGGCTGGGAGGCCCCCAGATCTCGTCGCCCCCGACTCCCCCTCTCGTCGTCCTCCTCCCTCGCCGCCGCCCGAGGGCGCGGCTAGGCAAAGCCTTGCCGGGACCTAGGTGCCCTCCCGCTCGTGAGGAGCTGGAGCGGGCCGGCGCCCCCGGGCTGGAGCGTGGCATGCGGCCGGACGTCACGGCAGGGGATGGCGGCGCTCTGGCGATCCCATACCCCATGGCAGGCAGCTTCAAGATCTGGGGCACCACGGTCGCCAGGGACGGCGGTGGCATGACCAGATCAGCGGCGGGGCGGCCGGATCTGGGCCCAGGCGTGAACTTGGTCTCCGGGTCACGGTTGGCGCGATGGCGAGTGCGACACGTCGGCAGCTGGACGGACCTGCGGGATTCCATCCTTATCTAGTCCTTGACAAGTCGGGCAACTCCGGGAAAAACCCTAGATCTCCATGGAATCGAGCGATGGCGGTGCTTTTGCATTGTAGTCCCTCTTCAGGGCATCGTTTTGGAGTTTGCTACGGTTGAAGGGACCAGCGAGGCCGGCGGCGTACGCCCGGTGGCGCAACTGCCGATGAAAATCGCGCTGACTACGGTCATGGCGGACGATGGTGGCGTCTTTGATGTCGTTTTCTTGTTGAGGTATCGTCATTACAGTTGGCGTCATCAGGCTCGGGATGCTCCGGGGGAAACCCTAGATCTGGGTCTCCCGGATCGGACAATAATGGCGTTCTTAGTATCGCTTTCCCTCATGGTGGCATCGTTTTAGAGCAAGTGATGGCTGGAGGTGACAAGAGGAGGAGCAGTGCTTCATCATATACATTGATGGTGTTGGATCTCGATGGCATGGCGCCCTGGAGATTAGGCGTTTAATGTGCGATGATGGACGTGCACAGGAGGTCGACACTGTCTGGCGTCGTGGTGGCGTCAGTGGCAGCTAGACCGGGCAAGGTTCATGCAGCAGTACTGGTCTGAAGACGGATTGGTGGTAGGTGGCTGCGGCGGCCTCATACCCGGCAGGCGTCCTAGTTGACGAGCACGCCGGATTGGTGGGTGCCCATACCCGGCAGGCGTCCTGGTTGTGACCTCAGCTCTTAGATGTTAGGTTTGACTGCGAGGTCTATTTGGTATTAGGCCCAGACTATCAGCGCCCCTTCATCAAATGGACAGGAGTAGCGGCAGATGTTGCTTAGACGGTGGCTTTAGTTTTATTGTTGTATGACTTTGTAAGGTCTTGTGTTGATAATCTATACCTACTAATAAAAGAAATAGGTATTCTTAGTCTGTCATACTATTTCATAGAAAAACCCCTGATGTTTCTGACATTAAACCCGCAGTACATATAAAATGTTTTTTAAATACTCATATCTTCTAAACCGTAACTCCAAATTTAACATGTCATATATGGAATTTGATTAGAAAAAAAATATAGAATCTGAATATGATGTTCTTTTACATGTTAACCATTTAAAAAATAATACTATTTAGGGTGCAATCTTAATCAACAGTGCATTATCCGTCTTTCTTTCATATCGGTACGGTCCAGAACTCCAGATTGTGGATAAATAAACATCTTAGCAAAATCAGGATTGGAGACGAAATTGAAGATCACTTGCCTATTTCTTTGCCGGTTTCTTTGTACGTATTAAATCTAAATGCAAGCCGTGTTTAAATAGAAGACATGTTTTGTTGGCAAAGACCATCTTTGTTTGGGCCATAGCTACAAATACTCAAATTATAGACCATTTTTTGTAAATGAAGACCGTGTGTTATTCTTTTCTCCTGTTGCAAAGCAAGGGCCCTTTTGCTAGTTAATAAAATGGCTGTATGCATCGCCCTTTTTGTGATCGGGACGAAACTATCAAGCACATCTTCTTTGACTGCCCGTTGGCAAGGGTTTTGTGGCACACGGTGCATATTGCCTTTAATATTACTCCTTCAAATTCGGTCAGTACGTTATTTGGAACGTGGCTTGTTGGGATAGAGTCCGAAACAGCTAGACACATTCGTGTAGGAGTATGTGCTTTGTTGTGGGCAATTTGAAATTGCAGAAATGATTTGGCTTCTAACATAACAACAAATATTCATTTTTTGCAGGTTTTATTCCGAGCTACTGCGCTGATCCGTATGTGGTCGTTACTCACTCCGACGGAGGCCAGGGAGCGTTTGGTTACTGGATCTATCCTGTGGGAGATGGTAGCACGGGATATCTTCAACCGGTTTGGATGGCGGTCATGTAATAGGATAGACAATTAGTTTACCTATCTTTGTTATGCCAGCCGGCTGTGGCTTTTGGCCCTTTTGTTTTTGGCGTTGTGGCTCTTTGTGAACTTGCCGTTATTTTGTTTTCAGACTATACGACCTGGTTGAACACCTTTATTTATCTATAAATGTGGCCGTATGCATCGTTCTGATGCAGAGGCCGGGGAGTCCTCCCTTTTCGAAAAAAAATCGCCCAGATGCAGAGGCCGGAGGTCTTCCTCCTTTTCAAAAAAGAAAACATGCAAAGTTTACAAGGATGCAAATGTTGTTGATCCGCCAATGAAAGCCTCTCTGGCTGAGGAAACTTCGTCTATGCTTGACAAAGCGGTCATCATTATTTTCTCTCCTTGTCTATGCTTGACAAAGCAGTCATCATTATTTTTTCTCCTTGTGTCTATAATTGACTTACGCTAGCAAACATTCTACGTGACAGTTGACAATAACACCAGAAGCTTCGTCGAAAGTCCCATGCCTGCCTCTGCCTGGACTCCCTCGCGTCGCGCGCAGGCAGCTTCGGTCGCAAGTTCTTGACTGAAATGCACATATAGCTAGAATATAACACTGTTATGTTAATGCAGTAACCAATTAACATCCTTGAACATTGCTGCCGTGGCATACTTGTATTCGATCGATTCATCAGTCATGAGTTCTTTGAGAATGTACTGAATCCAGCATAGTAGTAGCCAAAAATTCCAAGTCGTCCTGCATGTGGGCGTTAATACACCAGTTGACGCGACGACTTAAGCTTCGTTTGATCTGGTCATCTTTTTCTATCTACTACTCCTAGCGATGGAGGAAGCACGGGTTCCCTTTACTTCTGGCTTAAGGTACCACCTGAAGCAAGCTAATCTTAAAAATGATGTTTCTTTATCAAATATAAACTTGCATTCTTTGATTAAC